CCTCTATAACGAGATCTGGTGCCTCTTCTGGTGTGAAGGCAGACGCGCAGGCAGAACATTGTATACCTAATAAATAGATATTAAAATAATAATACCTTAAAATTAATGCAGCCTCTTGAAAGATTTACTGGAAACCTTTATCTTTTAAAGAAACACACACACACAAACATTTCTGGAATGGACATTACACTACCCGAGGGAGTCAGGCCTGGCTTGATGGTGCAGGCCTGTCGTCCCAGCGCCCGTACACAGGCTGGAGGCGCGAGTGGGGAAAAGCTGGGGTGTCGCGGTGCTTTCTGGGAAATGAAGTCCTCTTAGTTTGCGGGCGGCGCTGTCCTACAGGACTGCGGGCCTGCACAGTGGCTCGGCGGTACGCTGCTGCCCCCTGGCGGAGGCTGTGGGACAAACAACCAGAACCAGGGTTGGGTGAACCAGCAAAGGTCTCTTCTTGGTGAAGCAAATGAGTTTTATCGGGTTGCTTACAGGAACATGGGTGAGGTATAACTTCCAGGAGCAGAAATGGCTCATCAAGGACAGCTGCCTCATCAGAGCCCTGTTCGGCAGAGGCGACAGCTCACGAAAGCTGGGAACCTGGCGCACGCTGCGCAGCCTGCAGGCGCTCAACAGCTTGTGGAGAGCGTCCTTTGCAGGTGGCTCGGTCCGGCTAACCTGCCTCCAGGCAGCTCAGGTGGTCTCTGCTTCTGGCGTGAGGCTAGGCTCGTCGGAGTCTGGTGAATCTGGTCAGTTCCAGGGACTTCCTGAAGTCATTATGAGTTGTTGAGCTCCCCGGGAGGCTGCTAACTTGCAGTCTCGGGGGAAGCTGCTACGCGAGAGCACTTGCTCTTCCTGCGGCGACCAGGTCAGTTTTCCAGCTCTACCATCTGCAACTCAGTCCCAGGGGATCCAGCATCCTCTGTGATCTCCGTGGGTACCAGGCACATACACGGTGCACCCCACACGTGCAGGCAAAATATCCATGCACATAAAGTAAAAAACATTCTTAAAACAGAATAGTACACCTAAGGACGAGGCTCAGCAGGAAGTGGTGGCAGTGCACGCCTTTAATCCCAGCACTTAGGAAGCAGAGGCAGGTGGGGCTCTGTGAGCTCGAGGCCAGCCTGCTCTACAAAGCGAGTTAGGACTCATAGACTCACAGGACTCATAGCCAGGACTACACAAAGAGACTTGGTCTCAAAAAAATGGCGGAGGGTGGGCTCAGTAGCAGAGGGTAAGGCAAGAAAATTAGAAGTTTAAGATCTGCCTTGGCAGGCTTGGAGAGATGGCTCAGAGGTTAAGAGCGCTGGTTGCTCTTCCAGAGGTCCTGAGTTCAATTCCCAGCAACCACACGGTGGCTCACAGTCATCTATAAGGAGGTCTGGTGCCCCCTTCTGGCTTGCAGGCATACATTGTATACATAATAAATAAATAAATAAATAAATATTAAAAAGATCTGCCTTGGCTGCTGGGTTGTGGTGGCGCACGCCTTTAATCCCAGCCCTTGGGAGGCAGAGGCAGGCGGATCTCTAAGTTTCAGGCCAGCCTGGTCTACAGAATGAGCTCCAGGACAGCCCAGCTACACAGAGAAACCCTGTTTCAAAAAACGAAAAAGAAAAGAAAGAAAGAAAGGAAGGAAGGAAAAGGAGCACCAGAGAAATTCCCATCATCAACCTCAGACTTCCACACACATGCTGTCCAAACAGACGCACACATACTAACATGTGCCAACATGCGCCTACACATGCCTACACACATGGACAACAGACACACACATGGAAAGGCTGACCCACAAGCTGTTGGAAAGTTGGGGCAATCCTCTTGCGTGCTGAGTGAAGGGCAGCGGGGTAGAGGCGGGTGGGCATGAGCCAGAGTGTTCTGCGGATTTATGTCTCGGCATGTCTGATGGAACTCAGCATGTGTGGTGGGCGTGTGGCTTTCAGCGCTTGCTTTCTGCATGCAGTGTTTCACGGGCGTGTTTGGGCTTGGCCCCGAGTGTCCACGGGCTGAGCGTTCTAATAGTGAGCCCACGTGTTTTGTGGAACAGCGGCGGTGTGTCCAAGGATCCCCTGGCCCTCAGGCACTTCCATTTCCTTCTCACTGAAGCTGTTCTCACTTTTACTGCTTCCTCCACCTCAGAAGGGATAATTAAGCAATTACGAAAATTACGCCGCCACCTTCCGAGAAGTCACTCTTCCCAGAATCCCTTCAAGGAGCTAATGAGGGTTATTATTTTACATGCAGGTCCACGCTTAGTGACTCACCCTCTCCAGAACACATCATACACCGGAGGGCGCAATGTTCTCTACCAGGCCTCACGATGCTGTAGAGAATGGTTCCCTGCTATTTATCTATGGCCAGTGCTCACGCTGTCTGTCTGTCTGTCTGTCTGTCTATCTATCTATCTATCTAATTATCTATTCTCTACTTGGGATAGAACTGTATGTTAGGCAAATACACTGCCATTGAGCAACATTCCAAGCCTTCATTTTACTTTACTTTTTAAAACTTTTTTTTTTTTTTTTTACATAAAAATATATGGCATGGGTCTGGAGATGGCTCAGAGGTCGAGAGCACTGGCTGCTGGTTCAAAGGTCCTGAGTTCAATTCCCAGCAACCACATGGCGGTTCACAATCATCTATAATGAGATCTGGTGCCCCCTTCTGGCGTGCAGGCAGAACACTGTATACATAGTAAGTAAATAAATCTTTCAAAGATAAATAAAAAAAAAGTATGTCATGTACATGTGTCCCACGTGCGGGCAGTGCCTGCAGGGGCCAGAAGAGGGCGTCAGATCCCCTGGAACTGGAGTTAACAGAGGGCTGTGAGCCACCGGGCGGGTGCTGGGATTGAAGCTGGGTAGAGGATCTTAACGTTGCTGCGTCATCTCCCTGACCCGCTTTTTAGTTATCTTTTTGAGGCAGGGTCTTGCTATGTAGAACTGGCTGGTCTGGAACTCACTCTGTAGACCAGGCTGGCCTCGAACTCACAGAGATCCGCCTGCCTCTGCCCCCTCGGGGGCTGGGATTACAGATGTGTGCCACCGTGCCTGGCACTCCCTTGTGCTTTCTGAGACAGGGTCTCACTATTTGTTCAGGCTGACCATGAACTCATTCACTAGTCTACACCTCTGTCTCTGAGGAGGCGAGATGGCAGTCCTGGGCCACAAGATCTGGCTTGGTTTGCTTCTTTAAGAGATGGCTCAGAAGTTAAGGGCACTGGCTGCTCTTCCAGAGGACCAGGGTTCAATTCCCAGCACCCACATGGCGGCTTACAGTTGTAGGGTATCTGACGCCCTCTCTGGCCTCTGTGGGCACCGCACACAGGCAGAACATAAAAACAAGTCCCTCCAGTCTCATCACCACCCAGGGCTAAGCTTCTGCCTCCACCTCCACACTGCCAGGACTCCAGTGACCCACCACGCCTGGCTCTGTTGCCCTTCCTTAGAGGCAAAGGCTGCCCCTTTCCCTCTCTCCTTCCTAGCACCCTGGAGTGCATGAGGTCAGGAGGAGATGGGTGTGCGCCGAGATTTACGCATGTGGAGACTGGCTGCTGACACACGGAGACCGTTACCCTGGCTTTGGGGAACGTGGGAGCCTTTGGAAGGAAAAGAACTAAGCTGCACGGGGTGGGGTGGTGTCCTTAGCCCTGTTGCTTAACCGACAGGCACGGAACATCACTAACCTTAGCCTAGTCTACACAGTGAGTCAATTCCAGACACCTCCCCTTCCCCCAAAAAAGAGAAGGAATTGAGCTTTTATTTTACTTAGGCCCCTATTATTTTGGGCTGTTATAGCAGCAGAATATTTAATTAGTTTTTGATATTTTTTTTGGTTCTTTGAGACAGGGTTTCTCTGTGTAGCCCTGGCTGTCCTGGAGCTCGCTCTGTAGACCGGGCTGACCTCGAACTCAGAGAGATCCTCCTGCTCTGCCTCTCAAGTGCTGGGTTCAAGGCACGTGCCACCATGCCCGGCTCCAGATTTGATTTTAAAAGAAATTTATAAGGGTACGTATGCTGTGTGTGCAAGCTGAAGCTGCACCTTGGAGGTGCCGAGGTCAATGTCAGGATGGACTCGATTCCTCGGCTAGGGCGGCCAGCACTGTTAACCAGGAAGTCACCTCCCAGGCTCAGGATAGCATCCTCAGCAAAAAGCAACAAAGCCATCTCTGGGGCCATGTAGATGCCACACTTTGTCCAGATGGTCTTTCTTCCCCCCTTTTTTGATTTATTATTACTATTTTGTTTTGTTTCAAGCCATGGTTTCTCCATATACCCTGGACTCACTCTATAGACCAGGCTGACCTCGAACTCACAGTGACCCACCTGCCTCTGCCTCCCCAGTGCTGGGACAAAGGGTGTGTCACCACAGCCCACCATGAGTTACATTACCAAGATCATCCTGAAATTCAGAGACTTCTACAACGCCCTGGATTCTGATTAGTTTAATAAAACTATCCAGCTCCCGAAGAGTGACACGGAGACTTTTTATGAATTATTAATGCTTGGCCTGGGCTTCTGCTTGTTCCCCAACCAGCTCTTAACGTAAACTGTCCTGTTTATGTCTGCCACATGGCCTGTCACCTTCCTCTTGGTCTGTCTCCGCACTTGTACCTTCCTCCGTGCAGGGCTGGGACCCTTTCCCAAGTGATTCTCTCTCTTTAGTGTTTTGAGACAGGGGTTCTCTGTGGTAGGCCTGGCTGGCCTCGAACTCACACACATCCGCATGTCTCTGCCTCCCAAGTGCTGGGATTAAAGGCTTACACCACCACCGCCTGGCTCTCACCCGATTCTTTCCCAGAGGCCCTGCCTCTGCCAGAAATCCCGCCTTCCTCTCCTTTGCTAAAGGCCGCTCAGCTCTTTATTAAACCGATCAGAAGGCGCTGGAGGGGGCACTTACAAACTATGATACAGCAGAAACACCGGCAAAGTCCAGCTGGGAATCGGCTCTCTGCTGGCGCAGAGCTCAGCGTCTGACATAAAAAGACAGCCTTTACACGGTGCACGCAAACATCACTCCAACAATTTAATGCACAAATCTCAGGGGGAAAGGGCCACGGGCGTTCAGCGGAGGGGCCCTGTGGGGGCGGGGGCGGGGGTCTGGCCGGCAGCATCACATCTCATCCAGCCCATAGTCTTCCTCTGGGAAGTCGCCCACGGTGACAGCTGAAGGCTTGACAAAGGCACCGTACTTGGCCTGGCATTGGAAGTAGCGCTTCCCGTTCACACTGTGGGCCGGACGGGAGGGGGCGGTGAGGTGAGGCTGGCCCTCCGAGGGCCGACGGGGCGCGCTCAGCCGGCGGCACGGGTAGGCGGCCTTCCACCCCTGGGGGGCCACATGTTACCTGCCATCGTGCTTTCCTAGTGGCTCATCATACTGGACACCAACCCAATAGCCTGGCTTGAAATCTGTGAGTCCTGTGCAGGAGAGAAGGCTCCGTGAGAGTGTTCCAGTGAGCTCGCTTGCTCACGCTTTCTCGGGGAGCGAGCGGAAAGGCTGTGGCGGAGTCAAGGCCGCCTGCCCACCTCCTTCCTCCACCTCCTTCCCAGACAAAGATGACAGCCCCCTCACTGGCCTTTTTTCCTGCTTCTGCCCCATTCACTGGAGACCTCCTGGGGGGCAGGGCGACACTGATTTATTGCCACAGAGAAAGGCTTACGTGGCAACAGATAAACCAGGGCTGCACAGACCGTCTTAAGCAGACAATCCGGGAACATGAGGAAGAGGCCTAGATGGAAGACTTGGGGGTAGGTCTATGAGCTGGCCCCTCCATCTCTCGGCCGAACACTGCCTCCTCCATGATGCTCTGCTCAAGTGGCGAGGGACTGAACTCTGGACCCATCAGCCAAAGAGCATCTTCCCGTGAGTTCTAGCGAGCTTCTAGTCAGTGACACAGACACGTACCTACATACATGACAGTGCCCCGGCGAACAGACTGGCCAGGTGCCCGCACCTCACAGCGGCTACCCACAGAGATGGCACTGGCTTGGGCCTTCTCCTCGCTGAGGCGCTGGGCGGCCTTGGCCTCCTGCTGTGCCTGAAGTTCTTCATTGTATGGGCCTAGCTTGCTGCGCTTCATGAAGGATCGAACTGTGTCTGTGGAGGACGGGCATGGCGTCCGTCAGCCTGACCCTCACAGGTTCCTCCCGATAAGGGATGGCGTTCACGGGGAGATTCTGAGTGTTGAAGAGCTATCCCCAGATGCCCTGAGGCCCCTCACCCCGGCTCTGGCCTCTCCCCTTCCCTCTGCATCTCCCTGCAATTCAGAACTAAAGGGGTGCCTCCTGCTTCTAGGCCCTCGTCGGCCCTGTTTCTCCCCACATCGCTCTGGTCTCCCATTCATCCTCATTTGGCTCCTGACACACTTCCGGCTGGCTACCCGCCCTGACCTGCCCTCGACGCTGACTCCAGATGCCACACTACCCCGCACTCATCCCACTTGCCCCATCACTGTCCTCTTTACCACGACTGCTCCCGCAAACCAATCCCCGACCCATCTCAACCCCCTCCTTCAAGGCCCCTCTCTGCCTCCCCAGCCTCCCTTGCCATTCCACGGTGCCTATCTTAACTCCTCTCCCAGTATCTGTGGGCACCACCAATCACCCCTCACCCCCTTCCAGTCCACCACTTAGCCTGGGATGGCCCCATGCTGTAGGCCCCTCCAGCCCAGCCCATGCATTCTGTACTTTGCCTCCGTTCATAAGCTTCTGGCGAGAGCTCGAATTTCTCCACCCTGGACACGTCCTCATACTCTCCAAGCCGGACACCACTGTGGTCAATGACCTGTGGTCAGAGGAGGGAGGTCAGTGGGGACCAGGGTCGGGAGGGGGGGACATGGCATGCTGGCACATGCTGGCACAGCCTGAGCACTTTGGCAGAAGCCCTTCTCCCATCTCCTGAGCTCAGACTTCTGGAGTCAAGGCAGATCCAGAGCAAAGTTCTAGCAAGAGTTCACCCTTAAGAAAGTAAATTTCAGGCTGGAGAGATGGCTCAGTGGTTAAGAGCACTGGCTGCTCTTCCAGAGGTCCTGAGTTCAATTCCCAGCAACCACACGGCGGCTCACAACCATCTATACCCTCTACTGCCCTCTCTCTGTCATGAAGGTGCACACGCCCATAGAGCATTCAAACTAAAGAAATAAAATCTTAATAAATAAATAAATAGTAAATTTCGCCGGGCATGGTGGCACTTGCCTTTAATCCCAGCACTCAGGAGGCAGAGGCTGAGAGTTTGAGGCCAGCCTGGTCTACAAAGCAAGTCCAGGACAGCGAAGGCTACACAGAGAAACCCTGTCTTGAAAAAGAAAAATGAAACGAATCAAAACCAAACCAAATCAAAACAAAGAAAAAGAGGAGAAGGAGAGGTCAAATTTTTATACTGAGCTATCAGCCCACTTGGGAGGTGAGAGACAAGCTAAGGAAGAGAGAGCTAGCCAAGGCCACACACGGAATGTGAAGACAATCAGGGCTACATGAAATTATCTCAAAAAACAAAACAAAACAAAGAGAGGGGCTGGAGAGCTGGCTCAACAGTTAAGAGCACTGTCTACTCTTGCAGAGGACCCAGGTTCGGTTCTCAGTACCACGTGGCTCCTCCAATTCTAGGGCATCCAATGTCCTCTTCTGCATATAGGCAAAAAACTCAGGCACATGAAACTAAACAAATTATTCTAAAAAACAGACCAACACCACAAAAAGGGGAAAGGACGGAATGACGGTTGTAGTGAGCTGGCTCAGGGAGATGGAGGCTCCCGCTACCCAATCTGCCCGCTGACTTCAACTCACAGGACTCACACAGTGAAAAGAAAAACAATTGCTGGCCTCTGGGTATGCTGTCCTGTATCTGTGTGTGTGCACCATACAAACGAAACAAAACAAGCAAACTTATTGACTCTTGTAAAGGTGCCATTCGAAAGATGATTGTTTTTTTTCCGTGTTAACAATTAAACTGAGGCCATGTAGTTGCTAAAACGATCACTCATTGTTTTCAGTGTGCGCGCGCGTGCCAGCGTTGTGGAATTTTTTCTGTCTTTCCTTCCTCTCTTGCCTAGCTCCTTCTGCATGCTGAGATCACAGGTGCGCCTCGCCATAATCCCAGGCCAGAGGTGACATTTTAAGCAAAGATCTAAAGAAGTTAGCCACGTGGGCGTGAGGAAAGAGAACTATTTGGGTAGGGAATAAACACAAGCCAGGAGAAGGATTAGAGGCAGAGCTCACACAGGCTGCCTGGGTGGAACTGAGCGGGGCAGGAACCGAGTGGGGAGGGACTGAGGGCAGAATGACATGAGCTGAGGCACACAGAGCTCTCTCGTGTTCGCGATGCTCCCGGCTTGGCCGGCCTTAGTCTCATGATGGCTCACCTCAATTCTTTAGGGCTCTGTACTCTACTTCCCTCTACATAATATCCTCTAGATAACGGTGCAAACATCCATCCATTCCTTCAGGAAGCCTTTCGGATACCCCCAGGTGAAGTGTGCCCCTGGGCTGGCGCTAACCCAGTGCAGACAACTCTGGCCTCTCACTGTCTCCTAGCCACCTGCTTCTCCCCAGGCTGATCTGGGGGTTCCTCGAGAACAGGGCCTATCCTGGTTATCACATCGGGCAAAGCACTGTGTTTGTGGGGTAAGTGAAGGAACGGATGAACGAAGGAAGGTGGTGCGGGGTCCCAGGTGGCCTCACATGGATGCGGCAGCCATCATCTACAGGATAGGAGCCCAGCAGCGCGTCCTCCTGATCCAACTTGCTGTACAACTTGTCATCCGCTCCGTACAGCTCCAGTTCCATGCAGGAGGCAGGGCTGCCCACCACCAGCTCCAGTTTACACTGCGGCAAGAGGGCAGGGTGAGGAGGAAGGCCGTCCGCGGCCTCGTCGTCTGACTCCTACCAACTACGAGGGCATCCCCGCGCTTCCAGAAGATCCCGGACCCGCCCCCTCGGCTCTCCAGAGCACCCGATCCTCCGGGGCCCGGCGCCTCCCCCGTGGACTGGGACCCCGGGGCTCCCGCGCTGGGCAGGCCGGGCGCCTGTCTCTGCGACCCTTCCTCAGGCTCCGCCCACCAGCTTCGGCCCCGCCCCGGCCCCGCCCCCGGGCCACACCTTGAGCTCCGCGACGGTGAGGCTGCGGCTGTACCGCTTCTCGGAGCGGAAGCTGTTGAGGGAGCTGCTGATGAACACCGTCACGGTGGGCGCCGACACGCCCGCCACCTCCATCTCGCCGCGCCCCGTAGCGGCCCGCCGTCCGGCTCAGCCGCCTCACGCCGGCTCCGCAGCGGCCGCCGCTCCTTCTGGGCTCTCGGTCCCGCCCCCGGCCCCGAGGCTGGCCAATGCGAGCGCCACGCCGGGCGCGTCCGGCCAATCGCCGCCCCTCGGCACGCCCAGCCAATCCCGGACGCCTTCCGTGCCGGGCTCGTCCAATGGCTGCACGGGGGGCGGCCAGGCGGGCGGGAGCTCCCGGTCCGCCGAGGGCGGGCTCGGCGCGTGTGCGCTCGCCTTGGGCCGTGGTGGGGGAGGGGGGGGAGCGCCGGCTCCTTCCCCGGACGCCGCGCGCCGCGGTCCCAGCCCCTGCCGGCTCCGTGACCCGGGAAGCGAGGCTCGGGAGTCGGAGGTGACTGCCAGGTCAGCCGAAGCCCCGAGGCCGGCCCTGCGCGGCCCGGACAGCCCGCGCGCAGCGCCGCCCCTTTCGGGGCCGCCGCGCGGCCTGGCCCTTCCCGCGGCCCGTAGCGCGGCCGCGCAGGCGCAGGAGGCTCGGCAGGCTCGTCGCTATGGAGCCGGACGGGACCTACGAGCCGGGCTTCGTGGGTATTCGATTCTGCCAGGAATGGTGAGGCCCGGGCGGCTGGGGCGGGAAGGCAGCGAGGGTTGGCTCCAGGGCCGCCCTCTGACCTTCCCCCCTCCACAGTAATAACATGCTGTACCCCAAGGAGGACAAGGAGAACCGCATTCTGCTGTACGCGGTGAGTGCCGGGCTCGCGTCCCCCCGCGCGCTCCGGGCTGGCCAGCCCTCAGCACACCCCTCCCCCACCCTGTCCACCCTCCGGGCTGCCCTCCCGTCCCATCCCGTCGGGGGTCCGATCTCGTGGTGACTCCTCCCGCCACGCTCCCCCGTCGGCAGTGCCGGAATTGCGATTACCAGCAGGAAGCCGACAACAGCTGCATCTATGTCAACAAGATCACGCACGAAGTGGAGTGAGTGGCGGGACCCCGGCGTGGGGCCCGGGTGTCGGCTCGGGACGCGCCGTCTGAGTGTAATTGCTCGCTTCCCTCCCCCTTCAGCGAGCTGACCCAGATCATCGCCGACGTGTCCCAGGACCCCACGTTGCCGCGGACCGAGGACCACCCGTGTCAGAAGTGAGTGCGCAGCGGGCGTGGGGAAGGGGGGTGGCTGTCCCCCCGGGGCCATTCCCACTTGGGGTAACTGAACCGTCGCCTCAGGTGTGGCCACAAGGAGGCGGTGTTCTTCCAGTCGCACAGTGCCCGAGCTGAGGTGAGGAGCGCACGGCTTCCTGGGGGGCTGGGCGCTCGCCCAGGGGTGGGTTCGCCGGTTTTAGCTTGAACCGACGCTGCCCGGAGTGAAGGCTGGGGAAGCTCCTTGGTTCGTTTGGGCTGGGGCACCCCACACTGCTCCTCCCCGGCCCAGACCCTTCCTGAGGAAACGTTCTTACTGCCAGGATGCCATGCGCCTGTACTACGTGTGCACGGCCCCGCACTGCGGCCACCGCTGGACCGAGTGACCTTCCCTTCCTCCGCCTGTAATAAAGGCCAGTTTTTCTATGCCAGAGTTTCGTGTTTATTCGCCTCGAGGGCAGGAAGCCGCCAGGGTGTCAGGCTGCGCGGTGCAGGGTGCGGTGCTGCGCGTAAGCCTCGGGCCGGGAGCTGGTGAAGCCGCAGTCTTCGCACACGTGCAGCTTCTCCCTGCGCTCCCGGTAAGCGTAGCTGGCCGGCTGCCCGTGCACCTTGGCCAGATGGGCCTCCAGGGAGCAGCGCTGCGTGAAGGCTTTCCCGCAGGCCCCGCAGCGGAATGGCCGGATCCCTGCGGAGACGGGCAGCGGAGGCCGGGGCCTTAGGTTTCCTGTCGTGGTCCAAGCTGGGCCCTGCTGTGGTCATGGCCCACCGGCCACCTACTAACCTCTACTTAGGGCAACAGGAGCCAGACTGTGAGTCTGCGCCATCCCCCAACAGGCTCCTGAGAGAGGGGGGAGCCTGAGCAACCGGGAAAGTCCCCTTGACTGCTCTGAATCTGTAGTCTAAGATTTATTGATTTTTGAGACAGTCTCGCCGTGTAGCCTTAGCTGGCCTAGAGCATGGATCAGCCAACCTCTGCCCCCCACGTGCTGGAATTAAAGGCAAGTACCACCAAGCCTGGCTTCACTTCTCAATACATTTGGGGGGGTCTGCAAAATGTGCAAGTGTGGAGGGGGTCTGTTCTTTCCTTACACCACAGTGGGTCCTGGGTATTGAACTCAGGTTGTCACGTTTGCCAACGATTGCTTTTACCCACTGAGAAATCGCGCTGACCCCTGGAACCTGAATTCTGTAGCCAGCCCCATCTCCACCCTCCGCCAGGCCCCTTCCCCGGTGCCACGTATACCCTCCTCCCGTGAGGTCCGCCATGTCTCGGGTCTCCCGTTGCTGTGTCCCAGCTGCATACCCCCAGCCCTGGAAACCCCATGCCCCACACCTCTCCTCTGTCTCATTCTGTCATTACCATCCCTGTCTGTCCCTGCTGTCTCTCACCAGTGTGAGTCCTCATGTGGCGCTTGAGATCGAAGGCATCGTGGAAGCCCTTGCCACAGCAGTGGCACACGTGACGCCGCGCTGGGCTGTGGCATTTGAGGTGCCGGGTCAGCATGCGCTGCAGTGGGAAGGCCTTGGGGCAGAGTGGGCAGCCAAGTGTCCCCGGGCCCCTGGGAGCAGAGGTCAGTGTTCCCTGTGAGGACTGCCAGAGGGGTGCAGGAGTTAGCACGGCCAGACGGACTCCCCCATCTCCAGTCTTCGCTGCTCTGCAAGCCATTTGCGGTGTGCCCAGGGCTGAGGACAGCTAGAAGAGTGACTGAGCGGGCACAGGTGGCACCCTCTGCCCACAACCTTCCCTGACCAGTTCCCGCCACTCTGACCTTGTCCCTCCACAGCCAAGAGCACACCTTGCTAATACAGGCTTTCCTGGTTTATCTGAGCCTGCAGCTCCCACCAGGAAGCAGCTCCGTGCGGAAGTGGACTTCTGTTCTTGCTGAACACTTAGCAGCTTGATCAGGGCCTGCCAGATACTGGTGACCTGGCACACACGCAGTTCTGACTAATATTGTCCTTCTTCCAAAGCCAGTGCGGTCGGCCTCCTCCTGGGAGGCCGAGGTAACCCAGCTGACAGCGCCCACCCACATCTGTTACCTTGCCCAGCGTTCCGACCTAAGTCGCCCGTACTTAGCTTTTGGAATCCTGTTTGCAGCCACTGGGCACAGATCCCGGGAGCGGGGCCTTACCGCTGCCACCTACCCCAGGAATATGGGTCTTAACTAAGACTGGACTGAGTTGGCTGCTGGGAAGGGAGTGGCATGCCGGGTGAAGAACAGGTCCCGAGCTGGAGAGCATGCGCAGAGGACCTGGAGTAAGGGGCGACCAGCTTCCCGCGCTCGAGGGAAATTCATCCCTGCCCCGGCTGCCAGTTGCAGACTCACCCCTGCCCACGTGTCTCTCAGACCAGAAGCTCTGTGCGCTGGTGCCACTGCCAGGCTGCTGCAGTCTGGGAAGAGAAGCCAGATGGTGACGCCCTGTGTCTCCCTGACCCTTGGCCTCCGGTCCAGTGAGGTGCGTACCTGGGATATAAGCGTCTCCCCGGAGCTGGTCCGGCAGACGGCCCCAGTTCGGTGGCTGTGGACGCCGACTCCTCACAAGGAAAACCCGAGGCATTGCTTTCGGGATGGTGAGATGGCTTCTCACAGGGCTGCCTCCTCCATCTGCTGCCTGTCAGACCTCAGCCCAGAACGAGGTGAGGTCAGGAGACCCATGGAAGCCTCATTCTCTTCATGCAAATTCGGGGAGCAGCCTGGGGAGCAGCCTTAGCTGGCTTCAGTTTCCTCTGCTGTGGGGCCTGCCATCATGGCTCCTCCCCGGGCCATGTTCCCAAGGAACTGCAGTCTCCAGGGGCTGAGACACTTAGGACATCCTTGCCCCCAGGGAAGCTTGAGAGAGAGAAGAGCCTAGGCTGCTCCTGGGGGCAGAGAAGAGAAACACACATGGCTCCAGTCCTGCCAGGTCCAAGGACCCCAGGGAGTGTTTGCCAGGCAAATCAGTGCCCCAGACATCCATCAGGCTGCCTGCTTATTCAAATCACCGCGGCTGTCCGAGGATGCGGTGGGGACAGCTGTGATTGTTCTGTGCCATTGGTGTAGGGTGACGGCAGACTGTTAGTTCAAGGCAGGAATAAAGATCCGGGCTGTGCGTCCTTAGGCAGGAAGCTCTAGCTCTCTGATCATTTTGGCCTAGGGCATCAAAACGATGGTTTGTGGGTGTCCGGTTCCTGGTGAGTGCTCTGGACTCCTCCCACAGCTGCCACACTTTGGGTAGGCTTTTCTGGATCAGTCCCCACCTGAGGTCTGACTGGGAGTTCAGGGTTGTGAGCGTTGGTTTATCTAACCATCTGCGAACTTAGTTCCACACTTCTGGCTAGAGGCAGAGCTTACTTAGTTCAGCACTGAAAACGAGCACACTGGGCCATGAGGGAGACAGCAGTGACACCCAGAACGGTCAACCGTGAAGACCAGTGACCCAAGCTGGGAGAGATAAACTGAGGGGGACTCTTGGAAGCAAAAGAAGGCCCTAATCCACCCTAGGGTTGGGATAGGGGTCATCATCAGGCCTGCATGCCGAGTGCCTTTACCCCTTGTGCCTCTCCGCACTCCGACTTTCAATAGAGGGTCATATGTAGCCCAAGCAGACCTTAAGTTGCTAAGGATAAAACCTAATCCCCAGTCAAAGGGAAGTCATTACAAAGGTTTCGTGGGAAGAAAAGGTACATTTCACTTTTTTATATCAAGCTGGCACAAGCCCAAGTCATTTGGGAAGAGGGCAGAATTGAGAGAATGCCCTCACCAGCTTGGTCAGTGGGCAAGGCTCTCTGGGGAACTCTTAATGTGGGAGGGCCTAGATCACAGAGCAGTGTTGCCCCTGGGCCTGTGGGCCTGTAAGAAAGCAGGCCAAGCAAGCCAGGAAGCAGCACCCCTCTACGGCCTCTGCATCAGCTCCTGCCGCCAGGTTCCTACCCTGCCTCTCTGGGAGGATGGACTGTGATGGGGAAGTGAAATAAACCCTTTCCTCCTGAGTGGTCTTGGTGGGTTTTTGTTTGTTTGGTTTTTTGAGACAGGGTTTCTCTGTATTAGCTCTGGCCTCAGATTCACAGATAACTTCCTCTGCCTCCTGAGTGCTGGGATTGAAAGCTGTACCACCATATCCAGTGACTTTTTTTTTATTTTTATATCAATCCATAGAAACCCTAAGACATGAGGGTTCAAGGGATTCACATGTCCAGGCTTATGTGGGAAGTGCTGAGCCATCCCACCTCCCTCCCACTACTTTTAAAACAAAATAAAAAAGAGGGTCTTTTGTATCTTGAGCTGGCTTCCGCTGACTCATATAGCCAAGGATGGTCTTGAACTCGTGATCCTCCTGCTTCTACCTTTCAAGTGCTACGACTGCGGGCATGCACCACCAAACCTATCCTATGTAGTGCCAAGGATGGACCCCCCCAGGGCTTGGTGTATGCTAGGCCAGCACTGTATTGAGTTACATCCTCAGCCTGGGGAGGGTTTCTTTGCATTTCCCATGTTATGATCTGAGTATGACATGTCCCTTTGAAAGGCTTGTGTGCTAAAGAATTGGTCTCATTGGCTGGTGAATCCCCCTGAGAGCTGATTAGCTCACCAGAGTTCCAAGGTCCCCAATGGGTTAATCCATGGATGCATTCATAATCTGATGGCATTCCTGAGGCGACAGACACTGTAAGGTGAGGCCTGACTGGAGGGATGGAGTGCTGACCATACCCAGCCTTCTCAGGGTGAGCCAGCTTCCCCTTCGGCCCACAGCAGCGTGGCCAGCCAGCTGCCACCGCCTAAACAAACCTGTTTTCTCAGGTCCTTTCGTAATGATGTGCCTAACAAGGGGAGGGGCGGGCTTTTGGATTCCTAGTGGGGGAGAAGGGAAAAAGCCTGGCCTCATCTGCATGCCCAACCTTGCCACTTTCTCTCTGTAGGCCTGGGTCAAAGTCACCTACCTCCCAAGGAACCTTGGAAAAGGGTTGGTGTGTCCATGTGTCCGTGTGCCCGTGCATGTGGGCGCAGGGGCCTCGGAGGGCAGAGGCATTGAACAAAACTCTGGTCTTCTGGAAGAGCAGCTACTGCTCTTAACTGTGAAGCCAACTCTTCAACTTTATTTTTTTCTTGTTCCTTTTTTTTTTTTTTTTTTTTTTTTTTTTTTTTTTTTTTTTTTTTTTTTTGCTTTTCAGGGTGGAGGAAGGCAGGGAGTCTGATGCAACACAGGCTGGTCTCAAACTTAGTATGTGCCCTCTGTCCTGTCCTTGACCATGCAAGGAGGAGAGTCAAGCTGTTGTGCAGCATGATCCTTCAGGTCCAACAGTGTAGGTTTTTGTTACTTTTTAGCTTTTCAGGACAGGTTTCTCCGTGTAACCCTGGCTATTCTGTAGACCAGGCTAGCCTCGAACTCACAGAAATCTGCCTGTCTCTGCCTCTCGAGAGGTGCACTGTTACTATGTGACTGCCCACGAAGGGACCTTCAACAGCACCAGAGGCCTGTGACCATTTCTTCAGGAGAGTGGATGGGTTGAAGCTGCTTAGGATGGCCCCATTTGTTTTTTGATTTATTATTTATACAGCATTTATGCCTGTGCACCAGAAAAGGGCATCATTACTATGGACAGTTGTGAGCTGCCATGTGGGTGCTGGGAATTGAACTCAGGACCTCTGGAAGAACAGCCAGTGCTCTTAACCTCTGAGCCATCTCTCCAACCCGAAAGCCCTGTTTTTTTAGGAGACCTCTCTGCTAGATTCCTCTCTACAGGGACTTGGGACAGTATGTATGAGGTCACGAGACTGGTCTTCTTAGGAACATACTGTCAGAATGCCTAGTGCCTGTGGGAGCTGGCAGCTCGTGGAATGAAACGGGACACAGTCCTCTTCCCGGTGAAGGCATTGCCGGTTGTTCAGTGGTGTCTCCTAATTCCTGTTGCAGAATCGACAACAGCAGCCTGGTCTCTGCAGGATGCAGTGTGGCTTTAGCCTGGGGCTGTCAGCCAATAGTGCATGTTCTGAGGACAGAGTCAGGCCCATGGCGACCACCGGTGCCAGTGGACGTGTAAGCGCCCTCAGGGTAAGGCTAGCTCCTCCTTGGAGTACAGCTGGGCTTCAATGGCAAAGTGCCACCTGACCCCGCAACAGCTCAGGATGCTGGGATGGGCTACAGGAAGCCAGGATATGCATTCACCATTATCGCTGGTCCTGTGCTTGCTGTCAGCAGGTCAACACAACAGGGCCTGGAGCTAAAGCAAAGCTAAGTTTCCAAGCTGGCTCATTCATGCAGAGGCCCTCTATCCTCTCTCTGCGTCCACTGAGGAGGGCTTTGCAGACAGGACAGGTTGTGGAAACAAGTGTCAGTTTATTTGCTCACAAGTCTATTCCTTCAGAACAGGAGGGCTTTGGGAGAGGGCTGCAATATCTCAGTCCCCCCGTGCCTTCCTTCTCACAGCCTGTACTAGCAGTTCTGAGTAGTGTTCCAGCAGGGCCTGCAGGTTTGGGCTGGCCAGGGGACAGAGTGTAGGTGGGGACGCAGGATTTGGGTTAGGCAGTGTTTGAGGTCTGGCCAAGTTAGGGGCAGCCATCCAGTTGCTGGCTTCCAGCTGGCTGTGGATCCAGTGGAAGGCGGAGGCCAGCTCGGTCTGTGCCTGTTGGTGTTCGGCCCCCGGCTGGTTGCTGGAGACCAACTGTAAGGGATGGTGAGCTTATCAGGGGCATCAGAGGACAGGGAGCCCTCACCTCTCTCCCAGCCTGCCATGGTTCCTCAGCTTACCATTCGGTGAAGGTCCAGGGCTTCCTGGAAGGCAGTGCGCAGCCTGTGCAAGACTGGTTCCACACTGCCCAGATCAAGGAGTGCTGTGGGCAGGGCCTCAGCTGGGAGTGCTGGCTCCCCAGCATGTCCAGGGCTGCCCGGGATCGCACTTGGTGCATCTGCGGTGGAGAGGAGTGAAGAGCGAGGATACAATGACTTTCCAAATGGCCTGAGAGAGGCCAAGTGGCTGGGCCAATGATTGTTGGCCCTGGAGCACCTTCGGTCCCTGAGGCTCCTCCTCCCCACGGGGCTCTGGAGGCCATAACCTTGTCCATAAAGCTACATTGCTGACCCCTTCTTTCTCTCAGTAGCTTGTGTCATCTTGTGACACTTGGATTTCTGTCTGAGCACCCCCCTAGTGAAGGAATCAACCCTCTGTCACCATGTCTCATGTGCCCAAGAACCTAGAACTAAGCCCAGCATATGCTGGTTGACTATGTTAATGAGTGAGTGAATGGATGGATGGATGACCAGCACAGTCCCTGTGACCAGGCTGAGTGTCCCACATGGGAGATGAGGCAGCCAGTGCAGGAAGTGGGCTAGGGCAGTACTCACCGGCAGCGGGCTCCGGGGGTGCAGCACTGCTCCCAGGCATCCTGGACCGGCTCTCTACAGGTTGGAGGTTGCTGGGATGAGCAGGAGGGATAAGGGGCACAGAGGCTGAGGCCTTTGGGAGAAACACAGAGCTGTGGAGTCTCAGGGTGCTCGCATCCACGGGGCTGGGTGCTGGGAAGCTGGTTGCTGTCACCGCCACACCAGGCTGGGTGTCCACAGGCTCCTGAGACCATCCATGTGTGGTGGGTGGCTCCACAGTGGGCGGACAGAGGAGCTGGTCACAGACACTGGATAAGGTCAGTTTCAGGTTGGCCCGGGCCTCATGGTTACCCCAGGAAGGCAAGGCAGGCTCTTGGCCTTGAATGCTAGAAGTAGAGGTCACTGTGGTGGGGTCAGCGTGGAGTTCCTGGTCCGGGGAAACCAATTCTCCCATGGATACAGGCTTGTGAAGTGCCCTGGACAGCTCATCTGTCACGGGGCCCTCGCTGTCCCCAAGAGAGATGCTGCGTGTTATCTTGGCATGTGAGCTGGCTGTGGTCTCCAGGTAAGAACACACAGAGGGGGCACAGATGCTCTGGCCCAGGCCTGCAGCAGGTACAGATGTGGGTGTTGGAGGCTTCCTGTCTGGAGGTGGCATGGAGGAACAGGCACGGGACACCAGGCCTGCAGAGGACGCGGCTGTGAGGAAGGAGACTGTTTACTTGCACACCGACCTCAGAGTCCTGCCCTAGAACGGGTCTGAATGGACACTGCCCATGGCTCACCTGGGCATCCAGGGCTGTTCCTCTGGGAGTGGGGACATTCACTTGGTAGACACAAGGCCTCCGGAGTCTCCTCAGCTTTCTGCCCCGGGAGGACCTGCAAGCACCGTCTGTGATAAGGACTAGGCCTCCTGGCTTGCAGCCCCATGTCCTGAGAGTGACCCCAATACTCACATTGGTCCCATCTGAGGACATGTAGCCAGTACCTGCTCTCAGGAGCCTTGCTCTAGGCTGGCTGCCCCCTTGGCCTGTGGGCTTGACCTCTGGAGACTTCATAAGGTGCAGGGGCAGCCGGGGAGGGAACCTGGGGAGGAATCCAGGTGTGAAAGACACGCTCATGTGGTCTTAGCCTGGGGTCACTGGGGGTAAAGGGAAGGGTAGGGTCACTGGCTTCTACCTGGAGGGCTTCTGGAGGCGTGAGAGGAACTGGGTGGAGATGCTCAGCCGGGGACTGAGGAAGAAGTCATCAACCTCCGAGATCTTTATGTCTCCCAGTGGTCCACGAAAGAGCTCTAGAAAGACATCCATGGGCCCTCAGGCCTGCTGACATCTCAAATGTCTCAGGTGTGGAGTGTGGGGCCAAGCTGTCTGCTCACCCACCTCTCCTGGCCTTCACCACCCTACCAGGAAGACTATTCCAAGGACACCCACACTGTGCTTGGCACTGGACACACACACACACACACACACACACACACACACACACACACACACACACACGACACACACACACACACACACACACACACACACACACACACACACACA